GTCCAATTCTAGATAAACCTCCTTATGAGGGACTTATTTCTATGAATTACATGTTAACTACTGCTTTTTAAGTCTTAACACAACTCTTGTGTTTCCAATGTCACTTTAGTCCATACTTAGGATGCAATCATTTCTATTTTTTTGTTGCAACAGTTGGGTTTAAAATAACTCAATCTGGTTTATTTGAAACCCAACTGCTGGGTTATTATAGCACCAGCCCAGCATTTGACCCAACAAGTTGGTTGACCCATTATAACCCAATGGTTGAGTTAAAATATTCCACCCAAATGCTAGTTCAAATTAACTGCAAATTTGGGCAATTTCAACCACATACATTTGTTATATATACCCAAATACTGGATCAAATTAGTTAAAATTCTGGTATGTTTCACCAGTTAGATACATTTGTTCAGTAATCAATTTATCCAAATGCTTAATCAAACTAACCGAAATGAGATTAATTGTAACACATTATTGTACAATCTTTCAGAAAATAAATTGCTATAGACTACCCATGTCTATATTCAAGAGCAAATCTTTGACAATAAATGCTAGATTTGGTCATGTAAAGCACATTATGCAATAAACATCTAAACAATACTGGAATTTTTACAAGGTGCTGCCTTGAAATTTATTATAACTTAATGCCAACAATGTAAAATCTAACAAAAATGGAAATGCTCTAATTGTTGTAAGTAACAGTGCACAACAATGCTTAAATGACACTTAACAGACCTAGTGAAGAAATTTATAATTATTACAGATTAGTACTGATTTCAGAAATAATACCAGAGTATTAGGGGTTTCTTTTTATAACATTTTTATAATGTTTGATCTATTATGTGTTAATTGAAATAGGGTTGATACATGTCCGAATTATTAACAACACATAATTAAAAGCTGTGTTAACATACTGTAAGTGTGAGGTCTTTTTGTCTGAATGCCTGTGATTCAGCCGTAGGCCAGCAGAGGGCGAACTCAGGAATTGAAGAATCCTGTACTATATTTAAACGGGGACTTCCTGTTTTTCATTCAGTGTGGTTTTGACTTGTCAGCCGGTGGCATAATAAACCCCACTCCAGAATTCTGGTGTTGTATGACAT